CGCAACGCGCGAGAAGCAATGAAGACCAGGCCAAAACGCGCAGCGAGAAGCGGCGAAGACCAGGTCGCACCATTACCTGGCCAAAAGGCCAAGAGGGGGCGGCCACTCAACACGCAGCGGCAAAGGCCAGGCCGCACGAAGGCCAGGCCAAAACGCGCAGAGAGAAGCAGTGAAGGCCAGGCCGCGCAATGGCCTGGCCAAAACGCTCAGAGGGAGCGGCCCCTCAACGCGCAGCGGCGAAGGCCAGACCGCATGATGGCGTGGCCAAAACGCACAGCGAGAAGCAGCGAAGGCCAGGCCGCGCGATCACCTGGCCGAAGGCCAGGCCAAAGCGACGAAGGCCAGGCCAAAACGCGCAGAGAGAAGCAGTGAAGGCCAGGCCGCGCGATCACCTGGCCAAAACGCTCAGAGGGGGAGGCCCCTCAACGCGCAGCGGCGAAGGCCAGGCCGCGCAATGGCCTGGCCAAAACGCTCAAAGGGGTCGGCCCCTGAACGCGCAGCGACGAAGGCCATGCCAGGAAATGACCTGGCCAAAACGCGCAGCGAGAAGCGGCGAAGACCGGGGGAGGCCCCTCAACGCGCAGCGGCGAAGAAGGGGGCGGCCCATCAACACGTAGTGGCAAAGGCCAGGCCACGCGATCACCTGGCCAAAACGCTCAGAGGGGGAGGCCCCTCAACGCGCAGCGGCGAAGGCCAGGCCGCGCAATGGCCTGGCCAAAACGCTCAAAGGGGTCGGCCCCTGAACGCGCAGCGACGAAGGCCATGCCAGGAAATGACCTGGCCAAAACGCGCAGCGAGAAGCGGCGAAGACCAGGCCACGTGATTACCTGGCCAAAAGGCTCAGAGGGGGCGGCCCCTCAACGAGCGAAAATCGACAAATGCCAGACCGCGAAATAGCCTGGCCAAAACACACAGCGAGAAGCGGTTACTGGGCAAACTTTCAAAATCAGCTGGGGTTCAAATAAATTTTCCCTGACTGTATATAGTACCAACCGTTTTATGGCAGCGGGGACACTGAAATAGTACCAACGGTTTTATGGCACCCGCAACCTCCATGTCGCTTACAGTGCTAGTCAGTCTATTTTGTCTTACTGCACCTTTAAATAAAACATTTCTTATTAAATGTACTATAAAATCTATTTTCTTGAATTCTCCAATAGTCAAAAAGCAAACACCCACACATATACAAACTACATTAACTTACTTGTTATAACATCCTTTAACACCATTCGGTGGAATGCAGCCTTCCCATTGATTCTTCCTTGCATCTCTCAAAGAAGCTCGCTCCCTTAAGAGAGAGTGTGAAATGGAGAGACAACTGGGGATTGTGGCACAAACTGTAGTTGACTAGGCAAAGTGTAACTTATGTTTCAGCTGACTGCAATGCGTCCCACCCGGTTGCCAGACTCTGTGTGCAAGCTACATTATCACAAAAGTCAATGTAATGCTTAAAATTGTATCTCACATATGTTTAACTAGCACATTTAAACTGTTGGAAAATGCTTTCTGTAACCTTATCACTACATCTGACGAATCACTGACAATCTCAACTAACCTAGAAGCCTGACAATGTCCAAAATATCACACTTCATCTAACACAGACTTTGAACTATCTGCTGCTCCAATGCTTACATAACATTTCTCACAAAGAGACCTAACAAAAGAAAAAAGTGGCATTATGACAAAATATTAATTAGGTACACATAGACAAACTGCTCTGCCATACACACATCTCGTACACACCTTCACATCAAGGTTTTGCCCATTTAACATTCTGTCCATCTACATGTAATGCTTCACACTGAAGCGGTTACCAATTAAAAAGGCTAAACTTTCAGTCAACATTCCACAATTCACTTCCCGCGTAAAACGAACCCGCGCACGTATGCACACACAAAGCTTAGTACCATCAAAACCGCTCTGTTTGGCAAATTAAAAAAAAACAACCCAAACAATGCCCCATGTACTGACTGGACAAACTATATATCAATTCCACAATCCATTTCCCGCCTAACTATAGCTCAGGTATGAGAGACCCCTCTGTTAGTATCATCAAAAACATTGTGCTTGCTGAACCTGAAATAATCGGTATGATAATATAACACTAATTAAACTGGTAGAACCAACATTATCCCCACCTTTCAAAGCTGCTTTTTCGTAAAAAAATATCAGCCTTTAAAAACTCAGTTAACATTAGCTTGCAAGCTAGTTAGCGTTAGAGCTACTAGCTAGCCAGGGTTAGGGCTACTAGCTCGCTCTAACGCTGAAGATTTTTAATCGTCAAAAATGCACTGAGCCCATCAAAATACAACACCATATTATATTTAAATACAACCACGTGCTTTCACGTTATCATGAGATAAAACTTACCCAGTTTTCTGGAAAGTGCGGCTGTAACACGTGCTCCTTTGATAACTAAAAATGCTTTTCGAATCTTCTGTGTGCATTGACGTCACACACGCGCGAATTGTGTGTGCGCGCATTGACGTCACACATGCACAGTGAAACAGCCAGTGAGGTGCAATCTAACTAGACCTTTTTCTTGTTCTGTTTTTATATGGTATGTTACAAATTAAACAATTAAAAAATTAGCATTACATTGATAGCCTACTATAATAAATAGATAGCTTACTATAATTACATTAATACTAAGAATAAGATCAATTGTTTTAATTTTCAATCTGCAAATAACAAGTCATCTCCAAAAGGTCACAAGATGAAAGGGGCGGATTCGGCCCACATGTGTTTGCTATCTGGGGAGGAAGGACAACTTATGTGCCAGCTGTTTGGGGTGTGTCAGGATGAGTTGCCATCTGTGCAAAAAAATCTTAAACAGTAAAAGTCGGTCCCTTGTTGTTTCCAGTTACCGCTTATTCAAAAATGGATTTCTACTGGTAATGACTTTGAATTTGTGCTTTTACTGTTAGATATAAATTGTGCTTGATCTGAAACCTTCACAAATGCTGCTTTACAGTTCTCACCTAAAAGAAATCTTCATTTCACTTGACAATATATGAAACAATAACCAGAAATTCAAGGCACCAGCTTTAGGAGGCTTTGAGAAATGGTGAACCGTATATTTGTACTAGTTTGGACTCAGATTCAGGCTTGACAAGATAAATGTATTTTAATGAGTTATGGAAATGACAAGTGGACAGAGCTGGTCTTTTCAGCCGATCTTGGGGCAGCTGGGAACACACTGGGTTGACTGGACTGCTAGCAATGTCACCTGGGGTTGAAGGAGAGGTGCAGCCCGCTGAATAAGAGCAGAGGATGAGAGTATGAGAGAGAATAATCGGTAGGCTAAAAGGTAAGAGCTAGTCCCAGTAGTTAAAATGAGGACCTGAACAGCTGAGTGTGCTGGCTCTTGGCAGGAGAGCGCCGCAGGCATGGGAAGTGCTCCAGGGAGGCAGGAACTGGCACAGGTGTTCGCTGGTCCGTGTGCAGGACCCCCGTAGTGGAGGGTGAGGATCAGGCCGACAGCAGACGGGAGAGCAGGCAGCGGGATGCTGTGACAAAAGCTGAAAGCAGAGATCCAGAGCCACAGAGCTAGTTCAATAAAAGCAGGTCTTCTACCACTGACACAGGACACAGTTCACAGTCACAGCACCAAATTGTGCTGAGAAAAAACAAAAATGGTCGACCTTTCGCAACAAAACAAGAAGGGCAAGCATCCAGACAGGCTGGTGCAAAAGTAATCACAAACGGAGGGCATACAATGCAAAAACATAAGGTCAAGCTCAATAACAGAAAAGCAGGTCAAAGCAACATTACCGGCAGGATTACTAGAGATCATCTGGCCATGAGGACACACCAACGCTTTCCTTAAGTACTACTCTAATCATTGAGAGCAGGTGTGCTTCGTTATATAGTCATTGAGGTTAGTTATGGCAAAACTGTTACCACTATCAAAATAAAAAAATACACTAAACAAAATAAAACAAACAAGACAGGCTGTGCAAAGTTGTTCATATTCATCAGCATCTTTATGATAGGGCAAATGCATGCCTGTTCTTTTTCCTTTACCAGCAACAGTTTAACAGAAGCAAAAGAATTCATTCCTCAAACCCTCTGAGACTGTGTCCACAACAAGTATTCAGCTAAAGTTCATGCATTGTATAACATTGTTTTTTAATATTTTCATAATCATAGGTGGAAGTGTGCACAACGGATGCCCTTCCTGACTTAACCCCGGGCCGCAGCGCCTTAACCACTAGCCTACCAGTGACGGCTATAACCTCCTACAACACTACTAACTCTCAAAACAACTAACGGCAACAACAGCAACAAACCGACCTACTCTGCAAAGAAAAATTCAAATGAATGCAACTAAATAGGGGTATCCTGTCCCTGAACACCGTCTATCAGTGATTCAAATGACAAACCAAACCAATCAGCTGATTTGTATGACGTCCGAGGCACTTTACGTCGGTCACAAATAAAGGAGCTTCTTAACAGTTGTATCTGACACATGCAAATTGATTTAAGTTTATGAAAGACTACTACCAACCAGAGAAAGTATAGGTAAAATTAATGTAACAGTACATGTATTTTCTCCATCTGACTTGCAGCCATTAACAGGCTCTGGATCAGTTTCCTGCCACATCTGTGATCTCTCAGATAGATGTGAACATTTGTAATAATACTCCTGGTAATTACTGTACAGCACAATGTATGTTTGAGGAGAAATGTGCAGGTAAGTCAGTGTGCAGTTCATTTTCATTACTGTACAAAGGCTGAAAGAAGATGAGAGATTAAATCTGCTGAGACAGACGACGTGTGTCATTAGAAAACCGCATGAGCTCAGTGTTTCAGATCCTGGAGTCAAAAACTGTTGTTCAGGGTTCTTCTCTTCAGCATCAATTACAGTGCACATTGTTTTGCTTTATAAACTCGTGTCTTTTTCTGATAAGTGACAAAAGTTCCTTCAATAATCCAGCAGGTTAATTTTGCTTTTATAAGATCAAATATAACATTCAGTATACTGTATAACTCAAGTTGCACTAACTTAAATGTAACATCTTCTGGTTAAGTCGTAGCAGTAATACATTAAGCTGGGTTTACTGCAATAAACATCTTTAGGTTTAGGCTGCTGCTCACTGTCATTCTGCTTCTTTGGCCACATGTAACATTGACCTGTATACAAAGTCCCCAAACCCCTTCAAAAAATCTGGTACTGTTTGGTTTTGTGAGAAACAAACATGCACAATGTATGGGTGCGGTGGGTAGAGCGGTCGTTTCTCGACCGGAAGGTTGAAGGTTCGAATCTTGGTGCCTGCAGTCCATGTGTCAAAGTTTCCTTGGGTATGGTTAGATAGCTGCCTCGGTTCTGTACCGGAAACAAGTTCCTTGTGTGTAACATACTTGGCCAGTAAAGATGATTATAGACTGATATGTTACTCTTACCTTAATGTTTTTAAAAAACCATGGAGCTAGCAGTGTGCAGAGCTTCTGGTGGTACCCCAGGAGTACCCATAAAATTCAGTTTATTCAGTCTCCAGGCATTACAGCTGATGTTATACATGATGGTACACCTCATATTGCACATATGGATAAGGGTAATAATCACCTTTATTGGCCAAGTATGTTATAGTGATGGGAAGTTCGGATCATTTTACTGATTCGGTTCTTTGAATCTTGTTCAGCAAAATGAACAAATCTTTTGTCCGAGTCATTTCGTTCACTTCAGCGTAATGTAATTAAAAATGTTACATATTAATTCCCCATCTACTTACTCACATATTGATCACATTTCGAATAAGAACTGTAATGCAGCCAAGGTCATATTCTAAGTAATATCATACCTGTGTCTTGAGGCGATGCAGTCTGTTACTTCATCACTTCACCTCCGGATATTTTGGGTCAAATTCGTTTGGTCTTTTGTCACCTAACATCCTAAGCTAAGCTATGCCATGCTGTGCTATCTTCTGTATAGTATACAGAAAGATTTTCCCTGATGAAGTTTAAAGCATTAACCAACTCTTTATTAAAACATTCAGTGTTATGGAAAAGAACCATATTGACAGATATTCACAAAATTATACTCTGTAGGAAATACAAAGCTGAGGTAAATAAAGGATTAATGGAGAATCCTTTAAAAAAAATTCCGGGATCCAGATGATAATCTGGGTCACCACCAAAATCCAAAGTCAAAGTCCAATATCAATATTGGAACCTCTCACTGACAGACTTCACATTTCCACTTTGGAGCAAGAGGAGGCCCTTATGGTGACTGTTTCTCAACCACTATCCATCCATCCATTATCTATACCACTCAGTCCTGAATAGGGTCAAGGAGGGGCTGGAGTGAGCCAATTCCAGACAACCACACACACTCTAGCCAGATCCTGCACAGGGAGAACATGTAGACTCCTCAACCACTATTCTTAATGATTAAAAAATACAAATAAAAACACACTGAATGGGTCGAAGTCTTTATTATAAATCATTACATTATAAAGTAAGACATTATTCATTATCCATATATCCATCCAAACATCTTGTTCACAAGGAGAAGTGAGCGAATCAGCTGGTCATATTTGTGTGTACAGGAGGACACTGGTATAGGGTTAATCATGATCCCATCAATGAGCATAAACATGTTGTTGCACGCGCACGCACACACACACACACACACACACACACACACACACACACACACACACACACACACACCCCCCCAGCCCCTTCAAGTGGGAGTACACGGCTTCAGTGCTGATTTTAGTTCTGAAGCATGAGAGAGAGTGGATAGAAGATGAAAATGCAAAAACAAAACAAGGATAGACAGATTTCTTCTCCTTCTGGACCTTTTAAGACTGACTGGAGACTCCTTGTGTCCGCTCCGATTCATGCTGTCCAGTGTTCTGAAGGAGTCAGTCCACTGGCAGGTGGGAGCTCTTCCTCACAATATCTCAGCTGTTGAATGCTTTAAATTGTGATCTGCCCACTGGACAAAATATGGAAAGTGAAGCGGCACTCAGAGTTTAACTGACAGTATCTTTAATGGTTTGGACAAGTCTGTAATATGTTTTTTTTGGTCTTTTCCTTGCCCTTCACCAAAATATCACATAACACTTTTTAATATCTTTAAATAAAAACCGTTTATAAATCATCTACAAACCTACATTTTCTACAATTTACAGGATTTGTTTAAAGCAACAGCTGAAATTTGCTGTAGAAAACTCAAGGAGGGAGAGTGCTACAACCTCTGTGTCCAAAAGGACTGGTGGGGGGGGAAGAAAAAAAAAAAAAAATCTATACAGCAAAAAAGTGATTGATAAAATTTAGCCAAAGCAAGAGACAGAAGAGTTCCTTTGAGTGAGTCTGTTTGTCTGACCCCACAGTGTCCAGTAACGATTCTAGAGGAGTCGACACACTGAGAGGCAGCCTCTGTGTGTGTATACTTCTTCTTATGTTGCTACTATTTGTATACTATTACGCTCGCGTCAGCAGCTCCTGAGCCCACGTCTTGATGGCGGAGGTTGTGTGTTGCAGCAGCTGCCATGTTGAGTTGGTGAAGGACAAAGCGTGGCCCTGCAGACATGACACTGTCACCTTACCACTGCAAAAACAAAGAAATGCACGTTTGAGAGTTCACCCTAAAAACTACTGGTAAAAAAAAAAAAAAAAAAAAGAAAAAAAAAATCATTTAATGCAGCTTTGAATAAAACCAAACATGTTTGTCATTTTTAATTGGAGGTTACCTTCACAACTAAAAAGGCTATTACCTGTGAACTGGTTACAAGCAAACCAGGGGGAAGTTTAGTAACAAGTTGTAACATAACTTTCAAAAAGGCCATTTTTAAGGGGGACAAACAATGCAAAGACAGTTGTATTCAAGAATGAGGGAGAAATATCCAAGTATGTTGTCTAACCAGCATTTGATCACTGACATGTAATTTAACACAAGGCAGGTACTCAAAAATGTTTAATTTAATTACTGCTGTTTCTGAAATATTTTCATAGTTTTCATTTCCATATGTAGAGATATTCTACATATATTCTTATATTTATATTAGGTTTGTTTGCCTGTTTTTGCTTTGATACAATTTTAAAATGTTTGTTTTTACGAATATATAACGAATGGATGACTCTAAACTCAATAGCCCATAATAAAGTGAAAACATGATTTCAGACATTTCTGCAAATTATTTAAAAGATCAAAAACTACGTAAATGTTCAGGCCGACTGGAAAGGTAGCCTCAGAGTACTGACTTGCAGGAGTCCTCCAGGTTGGTCCATGCTCGCTGTAGCAGGTTAGACATGTACACCAGTGCTGGCAGGATGTAGTTCTGATGGAAGAAGAGCAAGAGCTCCCTTATATACGCCAACACCTGGAACACACTGTCTGGGGTGCTGGTGTTGACCTTGGCAAAGACACACAGAAAGAAAACGTCAGTCACAATGAAATGACTTTTTTTTTTAGCATCTTTAATTCAAAAGCAAATACAAACAGCATGAGGTAAACATCACCATTTATACTTAGACTCACCCATTCTATGACCAGTGGTGTCTTTTCTCTGACCCAGAGGACCAACTGTGTAGTGTTGTCTGAGACATACACAGCCACTGCTTTTGCCTTTTCTAAACCTTGTTCCATTAGTGGCCCCAAAACCCGTGCACACTCAGAGTAATAATAAGGAGTGTTTGTCTCCAGCCAGCTACAGAAAATGCAAAATGAACATGTGCATCAACAGTTTTTCAACATACAAAACAGATCACAGATGTGTCATGGGCCCTTTGGTCAGTAGGTTCATGAAGTTAAATTATTTAGTTCTCAGAGAACAAAAGAAGAGTTTTACACAGCTACATGCAAAACCCAGTTGGTTTTCAAAATAACTTGTTGCTCTAATTTTCCATCCCAAAGCAATTTACTGCAATGTGTCCCTTACTGTATATCTAGTAGACTAACTTTTTTTTTTTTTGTCTGAATAAAATACTATGGGATATTTTACTACTAGCTGTGTACTATTTTGAATGTATTCGGTTCTTTATTATTCATAATGAAGTGGCCATTGAGTGTAATAAAGCAGCAATATTACTGTAAACACTAACCTAAAACCAACTATAAGCATTCAAAACATTACTCTAGGCAAGTATTTCAGCTGATACCGAGCCATTAAGCCAGACAGTGAACAAACTGCATTGTACACATCAGCGTAAACAGGAAGTGAATCAGATACCAGCTTCATACGGAAAATATCCTTATGCTTTGGGCTGATTGAGTTAAGAACTGTATAGAAATCAACAGGGACACAGGCTGAAAAGAGCCAGAGAGACACAGTACCTGGCACACTGTGGATGGGAATTCTGCGAGTCTGCCAGAGGACCAAGCTACTAACATGTGGTATACATATAGTAGGAGTTAAGGATGATGTATTACCTGAAGCCCTGCTTTGAGTAGACTGTTATTTTGCCCCAGGCCTGCTGAGATACAGCTGTGACCCCTGAGCCGCGCAGAGACCTGGCTGTGGTGGAATCTGAAACACAACAACCATTACAAAAACTCAAAAGCAAAAGAAACAACTGATCTAGCTCTGCAATAAACAGAAAGACTAGTGATGGTGATGAGCTATGGTACTGACACGGACCTGTGAAGGAGCCGTGAGATCTGATGTCGTGTACAATGAAGCCGCCAGCAAACACAAGCAGAACCATGAGCAGTTTGGACCAGGGGAACCCCTGACCACGCATCTTCACCTGCAGATTCTGGAGACCAAAACAAAAGAACCTTACAGTGACAAAATACAAAACTATTTTTTATTAAGTGTTGGATACAGTTGTTTGGACAAGCTGGGCAAATTACATATGTGTAACCTTTTAATCCAAGTGAAAAAATGAAGTACAACCCTGCAGAAGATATTAAGCATTAAACACTCCATTCCCAATAACTATCAAACACCTCTGTGTGGCATGAAGAGGTTGAGATCACATATGCTTTGCGGCTGAATTCAGCACTCACAGTGACTCCGTCTCACCTGGCACAGCTGGTGGCACTCCTGAAGGTCCTGAGATTCGATGCTGTCTCTCATCTCTTCATTGGTCACTCTGAAAGACTGGACTGTTTCTTCAAGGTTCTTCCGCAGCTGAAGATGACAGTCAAGTATAGTATGATCCAAGATACCACAAGGGAGAGTTTACACTTTTCCATTAGACACTGTTTATCCTGCTGTGTCACACTGAATTTGGCTTGATTAATACAGCAGTGTTCCTCTGTCTCAGTAAACACGCCTGATTTCTCTAACACACAATTTCCAGGGCGGTGAGTTTGGTTTAAAAACCATCAGGTGCCACTGCCAGGAGTCATACCTTTGGTGGAAGGACATTCCAGGACTTGAATAAGTGATTCAACAGCAGACTAAAATCAGAAAAGAGAAAAATGAATCATTAGCCTTATCCATCGTGTTCACTGTCAAAAATTTATTGTCATGTACACAAATAGTTCATTCCATAATGTTTAATTTGAAAACGTTAAGTGTGTAGAACTCACCTGGACTGTGGTAGGTGTTTGGTATAGAGCTGCCTCCACACTCCTAGACTCTGTACATCCACACACAAACACTCCGTCATGCTGCTGAGCAGCTGCAAGACAAATAACAGAAGAAGAGAGAAACAGAGGGAGAATGTCAATTAAAAGACAACACCAGCTCTGAACGCTTCTACTTCACACACTGCCTACTGCCAACTCTCAGAACTATTAACAGCATACTGAGCTGAACTACATCCAAACCTTTGTAGCAGCGGTGTTGCGTAAAAAGGATCTGTACAAGTTCTACCACAAATTTGTGTGTATGTGTGGGTCTTACCTCTCTTTTCATGTCATCTGGGCAGTGTGGTGTGGCTCTAGACAGAAATGATGGCAGGTATGTGTGTAATGTGCTTTCAGGTTTGGCTCCAAATGCGAGGACTTTAAGTCGAGGATAGAGACGCCGGAGTTGCTCCTGCAGACTGAACACAAACACAGATAAATACAGCTGCTGGGAGGTTTAAAGGAAAACCCACTAAAGCCTGGGACAAACCTGAAGGGTCACTGACACCTGCAAAGGTGGTTTCCACCAACTTGCACAGACTTAAAGGTCAGGAAGAAGCATGCACCTTATAGCTTGGTAACTTACACTCAATAACGTACTAAACAACTGGTGGCAGTCGAGCCCACAAGAACAGATTTTAAGTATCTTGGAATCATATTAGACTCACATTTGAAAAGCATGCTAAAAAAAGTAGGTTGTGCAGTTAGAGTCGACCTCAAATTTTTAATTCATAAGGAACAAACTCATGGGACACGGCACAAGTATTTGATTGTAATTTTTTTTTTTTTGTCAACTAGTTTTGGACAATGCCCTGCCCTTGTTCAGTTTAAGTTGCAATTGAAGACCTAGCATGTGAGGAATGAGTGTCTTGGTAATTTTAGTAAACCTTGGATACATCTGTATGTATAATGTAGTCTAAATGTAATTTAAATATTACTACCTGCAATGTCATTTTAACATTACATGACTGTGTAGCAGAATTTCCATTCACCTTGATGACAGAGCATTTTTGGGCATGAAAGCAAAATCCAGTAAAGGAAAGAACTCTTTAGGACCCATGATGCCGAATCCCTTTGTCAGGTTTGTATGAAGTCTGGAACAAGAAGAACAACAACATTTGGAGATTTAAGGTACATTTAAATGTAGTCAAACATTAAAAAAAAAGCAAATTCTTTAACAAAATATTGATGCAGTGTTAAAGGCCTAAAGAATCCAGTCACTGCTTGCAAAAGAGTCAAATTAATTTAAAACATCATAGGCTCTATGTCTCTGTGATTAAACACCTCTGCCAACCAGTCACACATCACAGGAACGGGACAGATGTGAGGTCACAGTGACCTTGAACTTGACCACCAAATCTAATCAGTTTGTTTTTGCCAAATTTGAAGAAATTTCTTCCAGCTGTGGATAAGGAAAGTAAATCTTTCATAGTCACACTTCAGGTGGATAGCGTAGGTAGGTGTAGTCAAACAAAAGGTTTTTGTTCTATTTTACATTACCTAAACAAACTAAAATAAAATAATATTTCTGAGACAAACTTACAGGAGAAGTCGCTCCAGATAAGCGAGGGCATATGCGGACAAGGACTTCATTCCCAGCACAGGCAGCATAATACCCAGCCACACTGAAACACGAGAAAAGCACTGGAATCACCTCACATGACTCAGAACATTTAGTTCTGACAATACATGTCAACATTTGGCCTTCTCAGCTTCCCAAGCCTAGAACAACTGCAGCCAGCAAAACACAGCTTGTGTGTTCATAAGCTTAATTATCTATTTCACATTGTGAAACAAACACTGTTGTCCAACATATTAAAAACTGGTGCAGCCTGAAGGATGAACGGGCTCCAGAGGCTTTTCTTATGTGATTTGACAAAGGAAAACAAGTTATTCCTCATATACTGCTTCACTGTTAAATACAAGATGGTTAAAAGGCCCTCTTGTGTAACCTTGTTGGTGACATTCACTGCTGCCATTTAAGACATCCCTTTGTCCTACTGCGTATCACACTAGAAATATTATGACATCAGGTCCAGTCTTTATCATTTCACAGTCCAGTCATATCAAAGCCTTGGGCTCAAAACAGGAAACACCTGATCACTTTTTTGCATTTCCTGATGACAACAATGGGGACCTCATAGTGCAGAGAATGTATCCTGCTGTTTTATTCTGATTACATGGAGCACATCTCGCATATACAGCTTTGCAAGCTGCCTCAGGCCGCCTCGCCTTAGTGGAGTCTGATGGTACTCTATAACCTTATTTTGCTGATGGAGGGTGTTATGTCATCTTCCAAGAATATTCATCCTCCAATGCCCACGTACAAACACCAGGCAAAGACCCGGAGCAGCACATAAGATTTAGAAGTCACCCTGTGTTTAAGACCACAGATGGCAGACTGTTGCTTCATTAACCCCCAGCCCAGAATTACTGTCAACACCATTTGTTGAGAAAGTGGGGGAAAGGAGAGAGAGAGACTTGGAGCAATACAGCTCTGAGGAAACCGGAATACTACGTCTACATATCTAAAGGAGTATATGGCTTTGTATTTGTGTGAAATTGTGTGTGTGAATTATTTGGGTGACTATATGTTACCTCTTAGTCCCTGGTTGAGGTCGTAAAATCCAGCTTGGCCCAGAGCCCACATGATGGTCAAACACTTGACTGGGCGATTCTGAACTGACCGCAATAGCTCCAAATACTAGGGAGGAAGGAATGAGGGAGGTCAGGGTTTTACAACATATTACTGCAAAAGACAAACCCCAAGAGTACATTACTGAACTGAAGTCTGATGCTCAGGTTATAGGTTGAAAACTACTTCAACTGTATACATTTTTACTGTTACTTAATATTTTAACAAGTACATTCAGAGCAGGGCAGTGAAGCAACAATCTACCAGTTATCTGCAGGATTCAAGGTCACTCTCTCACACACACACTCACCTCTGGCAGGTTTTGCGTGGCTATTTTGGGTTTGTCCTGTAGGACTGCCTGAATGCACACTCTGTAGCCATGCAGTGGTTCTACTAGAAACAGAAAGAAAAGATGTTGGGTGCTTATCAAGGTTCGTGTTTCGTCTGTTCTTGAATTCTGCCGCTACTGAACCTCAAATCAAGGTGAAATATTACAGAAGGATGACATGGAAGGAAAACCTGAATAAATGACTGGTCTCTTCCCAGATGACAGTGCCCCCCATTCCACAGGGCATGAGGGGGGTCACTGAATGGATTGATGGGTAGGAAAATGATGTGAATCATACACTGTGGCGTTCCCAGTCACCAGGTCTCAACCCAGTTGAACAGCTATAGATGTTGGAGCGACGTGTTAGACAGCGTCTCCACCACCATCGTCAAAACACCACATGAGGGAACATCGTCTGGAAGAATGGTGTTCATCCCTACAGTAGAGTTCAGAGACTTGGAGAGTCAATGTCAAGGTGAAGCTGTTCTGGTGTCATGTGGTGGCCCAGCACCTCACTGAGACACTTCTGGTTTTTCTTGTTCCTTCAGTTAGGTGTTTAACTGGGTTGACATCTGGTGACTGTGAAGTTCATTTATTTAGGTTTTTCCTCTGAAGTTGTCACCTGTCTGTAGCTCTGCACTGGAAATGCAGAAACAATGTAGAGTGAAAACAGTGATGGCTGAGGTCCAAACCACTTCCAGACCGTCATGTAAACTTTGCAGTACCTGACTGTCTGTCCAGCTCCCTGAGCATAGTGTAAATACAGTGGTCGAAGAAATCTGGCAGAAAATCACTGCAACGGCCGATGAGGCCTTTGATTACACCCCTCAGCTCTTTGCCTATTAGGCAGTATGGATAGTCTGGGAAAAAGACAGAAAAGTTGTATCTGAGCTAAGTGCTGATGTTTGACAAGTGCCACAAACCTTTGAATATTAGACAGTTTGCTGCAACACATCCATTTCTTTCAACAATTTAAACTCCTTAATGGCTATACTGAAAATACACATGCATTGTTCAGCATACTTCAGGGCTGATCAGAATTAAAACTACTCTGACCTACCAAAGGCGTAACTGCTCAGCGTGGGCTCGGTCTCTGGTGCGGTCAGATTGAGGTTGAGGTATCCTGCCAGATCTTTGACCCACACCGATGGGTTTTCTGGGAACAAGGTCTGACTGCGAGCCAACTGCTGTTTCAGATCCTCAACATCCAACTAAAGAGAGCAAACAGGATAAAAAATAAAAATATTAGGGCTGTCCACACAGAAACAATGTGTCCAGTATAAAAAGATGAGACTGTGCTTGAGCATGTGACAGATTTCCTGGAAGATGTTATAAAGCAATGTTGTTTCTGTCATCACATGAAGATATTTAGGGTCTTCAGAGGTTTAATAAAAACTATTTGCAGTACATTTATCTGGTCTTTCCATTCACTGAGAACAATCAGCTAAGTTCTTACACCAATATTAAGAATGATATATCAGTTGTAATCTAAAATGTTTGCAACAAACAAGCTGTCAGGGCAAAAAAAAGCACATACAGAAGTTTCAAACTAATATTTTTATTAAACTGCAAGAAAGAAGAATAAGAACAACCAGCTTTGATTGCATACATTTTTTAATTTCAACTTCCAGTTTATCAACAACCAGGTAATTTCAAAACTCAAATGTGACTTTCGATATAATATAGGTGTTAAGAGAAAACTGAAATGTGCATTACTCACAGCTTTGAAGGCTTCCTCGAGGGTCTTGTGAGTTGCAGGGGTGACTGTACTGCTAGATTGTGATTTCTTGGATGGTTTACTTGACAAGGGCTTTTTGTTTTGAGGCTCGGCCAGTGGTGGAACCTGCTCCTTGTTCTGTTTCTTCCCCATCTTCTCGAAGCCGTCAAACAGAGTCTCTGACATCTTCAGGGGCGCTGAGGGAAACAAGGCAACTTGGTTAGACACACCTCTGTGCATAATGAGAGACTACTTTGTTTGAACGGTCTACTGCTCTTCAACCATCTGTCCTGAAAATCAAGTTAATCTATGAAACCATGGCATTTCCCTCCCATCTAGCTCCTTCTCCTCACATTCAGTGACTTACTTGCCCCTCTCTCCATGACTTGTGTAATGGGATGCAATACTCAAGCAACACTCATAATTCACAGAGGAATAGGGCTAAGCAGCAGCAGAACTCCAAGTATTCCTGTGTGTTTCTTATTAGACCCCATTTATAAAAATAAATAAATAAAACCTAGATGCCATTCACTCAAGTTAAACTACACTTCATATGTGAACAAATGAAAGGTTTTGATGCCCAATACAATTTTTTTAGGCCTGTATACTAAAATTAAATGTTGAAGAATCCTCTTATCAAATTCAAAAATCGGGAGTATCCAGCACCATCCACACTGAGCTCCCAGTCTATCTACAGCATATGGTGCTGGACCAAGGCCAGGAGACAGTGAAGGCCCTCAGCCATCTGAACAACACTCCTCTCTGTTGTGGCCAGGGAAGTGCTTTTGCTCCCTGAAAACCAACAGAGAATGAGGAGTGGCTTCCCACAGACCATTCAGGTCCTCAACCAGGAAAACGCATCACCCATAGCCCCAGCATTCCAGTCAACACACTTGTGTTACCCCAAGCTTTTAGCATTTAGTACTTACTGGCAGTTTCACTTCACCACAATCACCTCAACCTGATGTTGCAGAATACTGCAGATTTCTGCACTTTATAGAAAATTGGTTAGCTTTATTAGTTTAATTTGTTCTCATTTGCTCTGTGTGCTTTATTTCACTTCTATCTGCTTTATCTTAATGGGTACAAGGCTAATAAGAGCGTCACAGACTGACCATGAGATAACCCCACTAGCCAAGCAAGGGACAGAAAAAGCTTATCAGTCTATTGCTTGGACAGCTGCCCAGACTGAGCAAGGATCACGGCCTTAACAGGGTGGGGTGGGGGTCATCACACCCCTTAGTGTTATGAAACAAGGGATGTTAATCTTGTAAACTGGACTTGAACCTGAAGGTGTCAGCATGACTTGCATTTGCCATGCAAGGTCTTTTTTTTTTTTTTAATAAAAAAAAAAAAAAAAATTATATTGACCAATGAAATAATAGTATATCACTAAGCAGGTCAGAGAGAAAGATGGGATGAAACAAGCACCAGGCAAGGAGGAACTATAGAGGGTATAAAAGGAGTGTCTCTAGCTCTGCAGTTCGAGCAGATCTGACAGCAGATCGAGAACTGTGTGGGTGAGAACTGGACCTTGACTGGCTATGGGAAAAGTTCTCCCACAAAAAGACATGAGTAGCAGTTGTTCATACTGAAGCCCAGTTGTCATCTCTGTGACTGTTTTAGCTTAGTAAGCATTACGAGAGGAACCTGATCTGTTCTATTCATGTTTATTAACAAGATGTTTCACATATAGACACATGAGGAAACAGACCACAGTGCACAAATCCTGTGCTTCTGATCAACACTCCTTCCTCAACTACCACCACTACAAAAATGTGCATTTCCAATTTTTGCTATGCAGTCTGGTATAATTTAAGACACAAATTACGCTGGTATTTACTGTAAGGAGGGCTGAAAATGTTAACCTGTTCCACAGAGATCACAGGTTTATGATGAATTTTAATTTTCCATTAGGCAGAGTGGAAAAAGCACTAGCACAAAACTTTTGTCTTTACTGCTGCAATTACTAAAGTAATATACAGTAAGAAATTAACTGTTGCAATGACATCTGACATTATGTTGACCCTTACTAAATGGAGGCATCTTCAAAGTTTGTAGCACATAAATCAGACAAACAACATATTGGACTTTGTCACATATCCTGTAATTTGTTTAGACACGTTGTGTAAAACAAGCCCAACATTTTGTCTTATCAGCTGTTACATAAGACCTTCACAAAATCTAGTATTTATGTGAAATGTAATCACATGCATACATGTACTGTCAACTGAACAAGGATACAAGACCAAAAAAAGCTAAACTGATATATTTTTATTTTTTTGACTGATGAAGTGATTTAAAGGAGGAACGTGGGTCTAATCTCACACAATGGACTGTCTCCCCCACAGGTTGGGCCAAAACCTACCTTCTCCCAGACTTCCTGTTTGGTCACTGGATTTAACAAATTAATTTAGGAAAGTGCCACCTCTTCAACTAAAACTGAAATAATGTAAATACTGAAACATGATTTTGAGCCACAGTCCATTCTTCAGGTGCACATTCACAAACTGTTTTAAAGTAGCTCAAAGTGGCTAATAAACTGCCATGCTTAGTTTGATTTTTGATTAATCTGTTGATTTTTTTCTCATCAAAACCAGAGCTGCAACAGTTAGTCAAACAGCACAAAATACTTAGCAACCAAATACTGTTTCAGCTCTGATGTAGTTTCACTATGATCGACAGAAAAGGCTGGAAAAACACTGAAACCTGCAAATTCAGGTAAAGGGCTGCCATCTAGCTAAACATTTAAAACAGAGCATAACTAGATTTACGGTATACGTAATTACATTTTCACTACTCATTGAGAAAAAATTACGCAATAATAGCTCATCTCTCAGAAGTCACAGCTGTCACTGCAAGGATACGCTAACTGGTAATAAGCTGGTGCCTAATTCGTGTGCCCGGTCTTATGTCCACCTACAATGAAACAACAACCCTGAGATGCATTCAAAAGCATAGCGGCAGCATAAAGTCAAAAATATAACACTAATACACAAGATTCAGCATCTCAGTGATCACGATGCCACTGTTGACAACACTGCTGCTAGCATGCTGATTGCACATGCTAGGTGGCTAACATTCTGGTTGTGTGTGGCCAGAGCGCATAGCCCGGAAAGGACAGTTACAGATGCATGTGTCAGCAGCAGGGAACCTAAAGTATGCCCACATTGGTAAAACCCCACAAGGGACAACATGAAATTATCGTAGGAAACACTGATCGTAGCTGCGATAGCTAGCTTAAATTACATGACAGCTATGGGCCATCTTCTTATACAACAAAACCCCAGTGAAGACACCAAAATGTTGAAATTAAAAAGAGTTAATTCACTCTTTTTAGTTTCAACATAATTTCAACTTAAGTGCGTACATACAGCCTGCGAGTAGTAGTCCTTTTCCTTTCATTGAAGCATTAACAGTGAGGTAAACGGACCACGGAGCAGTTGACCGTGCGTTAGCCTACAGAGGGCCGTGTTCACTTACGTCTTGATGGCTGGTTAGATTCGCCCAAGGCTTTCCGTGCTCCGCTGCCGCTTTTCTTCTCACTCGGGTTCTTCCCTCCTCCCGAGCTGTTATTCTTCTTTCCTTTCTTCACGACCTCCCATTTTCCGGCTGAGCCATTATTTGAAGCCATGTCTCTGGTCCCGGTGGGGTTTCGTTAGCTCTGGGTACTAAATCAAATCAGGATGACGGGACGCTCAGTCAACGGCTCCGATCATTTAAACGTCCGCGTGCCACGTCGCTTTGTCAGCACGACGTCACGAGTGATGCGTTTGATTTAATAAAATATCTTAAAGGTTTTCCTCAAAAAACTCAAATGCTCTGAATATTTTAAAATCTAAGCTTTCTCTAGGTTCATGTCAAAACTATACATACTTTTAATTGACACAGTGATGTGTAAAATATGAAACAGGTTTATCTAAAACACAACTGGCGTCTGAATATGAGTTTAAACAATGGGCGTATTTAGGAAAACAATTACCCATGAATCGGTCAGCATCGGTCCATGGCCAGAAATGTAATCAGCATCCATTTACCAATAGATCCATCATGCTAAGTAATATTTCAAGAAATAAATGTAGACAGTTCTCCAGTTCCAGCTTCTCAAATGTTAGAATTTGTCCATTAAGTTATCTGATCGTCTTTGAGTTTTTGGACTGTTAAAATGTCAGAGAGATGTGAGAAAATTATGATTTTTCACTACTTTCTGACATTTTATAGACCAATGATTCACTGCCACATTGTGAAAATGATAGATTAATCAGAAATTAAAATAGTCAGTTGCAGCCTAGTACAATATTCATCAGTAAACTCAAATGACAGAAAACCAATTACAGACAAAAGAAGCACTTTGAACCAGTCTCCCTGGACCCTGAAAAATGCACGGGCCATTTCTTTGACCCTTATTGGACATTTCATAATCATTAACTGATAGCTGCTTCAAATTAACACTTATAATGTTTTTAATACGCCCCTGATGTACTACTATGTAAACATACTAAAACAGGGCTCAAGATGATTAAACTGGTGTGCAGGAGTCCATCAGCGTACCTGTCATTTCACACTGGGACTGAGCCAACAAAAGGTAGGGAGCATGGACATGGACATCATTTTTTAATTATGCTGAAAACTTTACAAAAACTCAACACCTGGGAAGAGAGTAGTAAATTCAGCTCAGGAAATGCCCCAGATACATGACTTTAGTGTGAACCCACATCTGTTCTGCTAATATTTTTGTTTGTATTTTAACAGCAGCAAGTCAAATATGGAAGCATTTACTAATCTGTACTCAGAAGGACAAAAATGTTAAATGTTAAGCTTGTTTCCATTTTCTTGATGAAAGTGATATCAATATTGATATAAACTGGATCCGAGATCTGAACAGACAACACAAAACTATAGCAACAAAAAAATTAAAGATGTGCTTCAGTTGAAGGTTTCATCACAAGTTTAAACTCTGCACTACAAATGTAGTTTACTTCTTGTAAACACCGTTAGTGATTCTTCGAATAAGTGCCAGATCCATTTAAACCTGCCGCCATTTTCTGTCTGGCTGCTGTCTGTAGAAACAGTGGGTGATTGCTAGCTGCAGTGCCTCTCAAATGAGTCACTTAGTGTTGGAGACAAACCTCTTGGCTCTCTCTCAAGATATTCTCCATTCAATATGAGTGGAAACTATTAATGTTACACATTAATAGTGCTTTTGTTTCCTTAGTAATGCATCTCTCTCTTAGTAAATACTTATACAAGTACAAATAATTTATTTGTAACATGATGGCAAGACTTATTATCATCATGGTTGCACTGTGAATGTGTGTGATGTGAACAGTCTGTCAGAGTGTAAAACTGTTTTGCAGTAGTACAGCACCTGATAAATGAGAAATATTGCAGCATCAGATGACACGCACAATGATAAAATATGTTTCCTTGAACCTCAGAACTTTATTTCATTCCAGCAGTTACTCCAAATGATGCAGATTTATCACATGGTTGTCATGTTAACAAACAGTCTGAGAGGGAGTTTGATGTTTTCTTCTCTCAGACTGGTTCAACTAATGTCAGTCACAATAAACCACAGCCAGAGCTCCTTGGCAGCCACTGTGGTGTTTTAACGCTATGCGTCAAAACTCAATTAAATGCGGCAACAAATGAGTAATGATAGCAGCTAAAAAATTTAACTTAACACAGTCAAACATTAGTGTTTAGTAGTGTCTGTCTGTAGTCTTATTTCCTTTTCATTTTGCTCATTCCTAGAGTTCAAAGCCGGATATTTGTCTGATAAATACCTATTACACAGACCCCCTCTGACTTGGCCAGTGAGGAGCTCAAAGCACATAAAAAAACAAACCTTTTAAAACAAATCTACAAAATATAAAACTGCATCTTCCTGTATCTCCCTGGCAGCAGCCAGTCACTGCAGGTTGGCATTTTGGATCATTTCTGTCAGTTTGTTTTGCTACATTTAGTGCAAGACCTTCAATTTCACCAAATCCAAAGCTACATAGTTTTTCAGAAACTGTATAGAGCTGATTAAAAAAAAAAAAAAAAAAAGCAGAGAATTTAAAATCATAAATACACCATGCTGTCCCATGCACAAGCTGTCAGAACAGTTTTATGAGCAAGCCCTGCTCTGGTGGGACAACTTGATAGATAAAAACATTCTGTGATGGTCTGTTACTCTGGGACGACCTTTTTATGTACATGTGAACAAAGTCTGTGATATGTCTGTAGGCTAAATGTATGTTCATGTGTCATAATATGCATATATCAAATATATGCATGTGCTCTCCTAAAGGGCCTAACACAATTTATAATCTCACCATGTGAAATTTACCATCAAAATAGCTATCATAGATCACACTGTGTGAAAAATATTATATGGTTTCATTCATATATAAACTACTCTGCAGAGCACCCTGATGCCCATGGTGAGAAAAAGGGACCTGCCTCTTCAGACAGACAGGTTGACAGCACTGTTGGCTCCAGGCTGTCAATGCTGCATCCTTGTAATCTCACTGTACTAACCTACACCTCCAACAGAACAGACTAGCCCTGTAGCGCTGCCATCCCCTCTGGTAACAGGTTAGGATAAACTGAGTAAGCCAAGCCAGGCTAATGGGGCCTAGTCCAGACAGTCTGGGTTAAGTGTCCTTTGATCATTAGGCATTTAAGAAGCTACAACAAAGTCATTATGGATATGGACAACCACAGACAAGATAGGAGAATTGAGGGGGGACTGTAAAAAGTAAAACAAAAGGGAAAAAAGAGAGATGAGAATAATGACCAGGCAGGTTACAGGGTGAGAGGGAACAAACCACTGGTGATAAAGAAAAGAGTTCAGTACTCCTCCTGGTCTCTTCGTGCTCCATCATCAATTTCATCATCCTCTGGCGGCACAAATCCCTCCTGCCACAGAAACCTTAGGTCAGTGTACAGAAGGATGAGATCAAGAAGAAATTAAGAAAGAAACTGCAGTTGCAAAGAGAACTAAATGGCACTCAGAGAGTGCAAACCTCCTCACATAACTTTTTCAGCTGGTCACTCAAAAACTGGTTTTGTACATTCCAAAAACATTTCTGCATTTGAAAAAGAAAGAAAAAACTAAAAACAAGGAAAGTTTGGGTTCAGTCATTCTCCACTCTCTCTCTTAGCAGCAGGAGAGTGCACATAACACAAATACTGCTGATGAGTCCATTTCTGTCCTGTCTGTGCTCAAACCAAACACTAAAGTGGATGTGTGGCCGTAGTTGAAGCATCCACTGCTGTATGCAGCTGTATGGGGGACTATTTTTATAAAGTTCACTTATTGATGTTTGTACTGTATATATCTATAGTGAATAATTAGTGTGATCCCCAAAAATCCAATGCAACGTGACAACAACTTCACGTTCTATATAATGTTAGTGAGCTCAGCTGTTAGCACTGCAGTTTGGGAACAGACTGCCTTTTTGCATACTGGGAAAGTAATGTTACCTTTTCTATTGGAGGAAAACGACCAAGCCCTGGTATGATATATACAGTATGAGATTAGACTTTATTTACCTCTGTAGTGTACAGTATGCCTATGATTTTGGTGACGACTGGGTTGTTTTCATTTTCGTGTTCCTGGCAGATGATCTCGATGTCTCTCAGCTTTCCAAAGTAGAAGTCCCTTTCCTTCTCCAGTCCATCTGCAGTCAGTTTCAGATCCAGCAGCTGTGTGCAGGGACAGCCATGGGCAAGAGGTCAAAAGGCAGGTTAGAAAGTAAGAAGGCTACAGGTAAATAATATAACAACAAACACAGAAACAAGCAAATTATAAAGAATGACAATAATAAAAACATCACTGTTAAGCTCTTTAGGAGAAACAACAGTGGGTAAAAAATTGCCAGAAGAGAAAATAAGCAGCAGGTTAAAACTGAGAATTGACAAAACTCTTGCATCAAAACTTACAAATATATCAAATATATACTAAAAATACATTTCTCATTAATCAATAAGCCATTTAATTACAATTTCATTAACACCCTTCAACCTACGCATCAGACTATAACAATGTGAGAATATGTTGAGTCAGTCTGCTTCCAACGTGGCACAGCTGGGATCCACTTGTTGTTCTCTACATGACATTATTTGTGCCAAAACGACTCTCATTAAGAAACGAGTGTCAGAGCAGTTTTGAGGAACAGCCAACTGTCTGAACAGTCAGAGCAGTAGTACCTGCTGGTTGAGCTCTACAAGCTCAGGGTCTCCTCCATTACGGGCCACGGGAGTGTTCCTGCGGGGTGCCGCTATGTTGATCTGTCTCTGTGGGGGAGGAACGCTCTTCAGCGCTGTGGGAGATGTTCTCAAGGGACCTAAAAAAACAGACACCCCCACAAGTTTAAACATTTACATGTTGGGAGCCTCACTGAAGCCTTCCTTTAGCTCCTAACTCTAATAGGGTGACAATACAAGTGCATCAGATTAATTAAATTTTAACAAATGCAGCGGTCAATGGTCAACACTGTAAGTGTGACCCAAAGCACGTCTTTATGCTTTATGCATTTTTACCTGTACATGAGTTCTGTCAAAGTGTACAGCAGTAATGCAGCTTAACACATAAACACTGACAAAGATTTGCAGTTGGTGTTGTTGAGCTGCTGAGCAGCTGTTTTCACTGCCTGGCCAATGTGGACAAAAATAACCTTCATTCTTAATCTCAACCGACTTCTGACCTTCGTCAACAAGTCCCTTGAAGTGATGAGGACTGGCCCAAATTTCCTCACTTTACAAAGTTTCCTCAGCATCAGGCCCTAAAAGGCCTCATTTCTTTTATCTCTCACACACACACACACACACACACACATATTCATCCTTTTAGGATGTCCTTGTGGTGTGTTTTCATTTTATTACATTAAAAAATACCAGTGTTTTGATAGGTTTTAGCCCATTTGCTACCAGACATATATTTCACACTAATGTTGTTGTTTACTGTATTACATTTTTGTCTTGCCTGTGTGCCTGTGTGCCAAACACCACAATTTGCAACCAAACTCTTTGTCACAATGCACAAATGCTTATTATCTCCTATACAGAGCACGGGACAGTTGATGCTGTTACATGGCAACACTGTGTTTGATTTTGTTCATGTTATGTTTTTTTCCTTTTGACATTCTGTTTACATGCCGCAACTCCAAATCCCATGTGGCATATGTTGTGAAGGGAGACTGCCTTATATGGACACTGTGTGTAAAACTGCTATAAAAACTAAAATTATACAGTACAGTATACCTGTTCAAAGCACTGCAGCTGCACACAACTACAGAGATGCAATCACAGCCCACAAAATATCAGAAGAGATCAACCCAAAAGTAACTGACATTGTTAATGTTGGTGAAACAGTCTTCAGGCAAAGACAGGCACATACACAAACAAGCTCATTGGAGGGGATGTTACCTGAACGAGAGGCTCTTTTAGGTTTGTGATGAATCGGCTCACCTGGGTTAGAGGTGAGGATGTGGTTGTATGAAGAGGTGCGAGCACTATGTCTCTGAGATACAGTAACACACAGCTGTTTCCTTCTGTGTGTGTGTTGTACCTTGGTTAGGCGGAGTCGGCGTTCCCTCGTGGCCCTGCCGTGACAGTAGGGGGTCGTATTCTTTCCCATCATAGTTGGCATTAAAAAACTTCTTAAACCACTGAAGGAATTCAAAGTTGTCCTGGAATTTCCCCTTCACCAACCTCTCCACAGGGATGATCTGAAAAATAAAGGCAGAAGGAAAACGGAAGTAAGATTGTTGTATTATTGTTATTTAAACAGTAGAAACAACAATGCTAATCTCAGCACCTGATTTAGATTTAGCTTCTGTCTTAAGTCTTTTGATATAAAATGTGTCTTAGTTTTAATCAAATTTTAGTCATTTGAGTTTTTTAAGTTTTAGTCGTCAAAGTCTAAAGACATGTTTGTCAAGCATGTGTACTGTATGTGTGTGTGCGTTCTTACCTTATCCACTTTCATTCGCTTGAATGCAGCCTGTAAGACCTTGAAATTGTTGATGTATTCATGCTCCAGTTTAGCATTAAACTTTACTTTTTTCAACAGTATGCACCCTGGAAACAGCATGTCCATGAACTGACAGTAAGCAGCACCTAGGAAAAAACAATCACACACATATCTAGTTTTTTAGTTGAATATACGTTTTCAACTTAATTACTAGCTGAACATAAAGAACAGTGTTTGTGTTCACCTGAACAGAGCTGCTCAATCTTTGTGTAGGTGAGCTGAAGAGAGTCGTTGACCCACGCCAACATGTCATGGCGACTCAGGTTCTCTATGGTCATAGAGGTGGAGTGGACATTCACCGCCATCCTCCTGTTTCACAAAAAACACAAGACACACACAAGCACATGCACGCAGTAATGACTGTTTGATCATTTATACATAAGACTATAAATATGGGTCTTTTGCATAATGGGTATTTTACCTTTGAAACATGACAGTATATACTGTATGTTTTGTTGATGATAATGCCAACATACACACTTTACTCACCTGTGCAGGGTGTGTATTGGGTGTGAAGTGTTCAAATCAGGTTGTGCTGGACCACTTTAGAGAAAGACCTGCAGAGAGAAACCAGCACCATGTGGGATGTCACTCCTGCCATACAACAAATTTACTGAACTGGCAAATCTGAATTTTCCTAATGTTTGTCTTTGTATGTGCCCTTTTCAAGGGCCAGAATTTTTTAATATAACCTCCACAGGGTTACAAACCACAGATGAACTAGCAGTCAGTCACTAGTTTTCTCTCTAGGCCACTAATCTCTGCCTCAATTAATCCTTTTAGCCCAAGTCCAATATGCTGTAACCCATCATAGGTCACAGAGGCAGCTCAGATCCCCAGTAGGTGTATTCATCAGGCAAAAGAACCAATATAGCTACAATTCATCAAACTTAAACTTTGAGATAAGGAAAAATCCAACAATACCGAAGCATTTCCTGTGAACTGACTGCCACCAAAATAAACAACACACAGGATATGGTGCTGAAGGGAGGTAATGTGCTAATTTGGCTGTCACTAGGGAATCTGCCAGTCTTTTGGTGAGTGCATACACTGAGCATGAGTCAGTAACACATTACACATATCTACTTTGACTAATCTGTAAATTGTAAATGTAAAAATGCTGTTTTTAAGATTATTTAGCAAAATTGCACACCTGAAGCAAAAACAGTACAAGCAACAATCCAGTCTCTAAGACCTGTTTGTTTATGTGAAAGACAAATAGTCAGTTTGAATCCAGAGCGACAATGATGCAACAAAAAATTATTACTGCCTATTAGGTTATGCTTTTATTAATTTGTTATCAGTAGAGCTGAGAACTCAGTTAGCTGCAAACATTAATCAGTAACGATTTTGATAATCTGTTAATTGTATGAAGTAGTTTTAAAGCAAAAATGACATAAAAATGTCTGTCACACAATGAAATGTGAAGATTTCTTGCTTGAGTTTTGTACAAGAAATGGCCAGAATTGACTCATTTGACTATGACAGTAGTTATGATACATTAATTACATCTACAGATACAGGTGTAAGGATACAACCATCTAATTTGTAATTGAGTACATGTAACTATTACTGGGTATAACTGCGTTATAAGCTCTGACTGTTCCATCTAGAAAATACGTGATAATACGCGTAAACCCTCCTGTGTTTGACTGGTTATATGTAAACGTTAGAGCCTGGTGCCAGCCGGTGTCACTGTCAGCCCGGTGTATTGACAGTTGCCATTACAGCCGTGTCACGGTGCGACACACGCCGCTACCTCTGTGCGACTCCACTGTAATCCTGCTAACTAGCTCCTAGCTAACTAACTACTTACACTGCTAACGCTGGGTGTCGAGCTGAGTTAGCGTTTAGCCTTTATTGTTAGGCTTAGAGGATTTCCAGATAATTTAATTTCAAAAGAGCGATGTTATAGAACTGAAAAATACATAGAAGTGTACATGAAAACGGCTAACGTTACTCCCCTCTGGAGGCCTTTTCGATAATACACACGCACATTACCTATGAAACTACGGGAGGGTTAAACTATTTATCTGACACGTAAATTAAATAACGCAATAAATAACCCAATTCTATGCGTAAATAGGAGCATTTTAAGTTGAGCTGAGTTAATATTACTCACGGAAGCACTCAGACTCCTTCTCTATGTCGTCCTGTTGTTTGTAATGATGAGCTTCTCCGTTGCTATCACTCCGTCTGTCGCCTCAGCAAAGCTCCGCGAGACTGTTCCAAGTAAACCGCCGCCAGTGCGCATGTGCGAAGCAGTTGCACGCTATTCTCATTAGTTTTAGTGAAACCGGTCTCTAGTGAGCAGCCATGATGAAGATGTGGTACGACAGTATGACTGCGGCCCAAGTTTAGCCATTAAGCTTCGCCCGTTTTCTAAGCTTACACTGAAAATTTGAGTTCACATACAAGACATAATTATCGAGTGTCAGCGAGTGTTTGTTTATTATTAATATCATTATTATTAAGCTCAAATAACCCTGTGACTGATTTGTGACTGATTGCACAACTTAAAGTCAGTGGTCACTTTAATGTCATTGTAACCTCCCTCTCTCCACTATCTGAACTCTACACAAACACATTTTATTAAAATCTTGATAACAGTCTTTAACACTTTCTTTGCACATATTGCTTATTACTATTATAATTGTTCTAGCGTTCTGTATTTTATTACTAATTGTAACTTGTGCTCTGCAGCTGTAACACCTTAATTTCTTCTACAAGGCATCAATGAAGCATTAAAGTAGCCTATGTCACATGATTCAGCACAAGTAGACTATACAGATATTTTACTTTTTTATCATCTCATCGACAATTTGTAATTGCATTGACCTATTGTTGTCACAGCCTGATTTATAAAAAATATTTTCAAACAGTTCGTTTATCATATCTTCCTATTGCATTTGTAAATAAATGAATAATGTAGCTATTTTTTGCTAAATTTTACAAATTTATACATAGTCCAACTGTGACCACAAATCTTGGCATTTCAAAAACAATAGATGACACAAGGGAACCATCAAGAGGTGTTTTTTCCCCCCACTTTATTATTTTGCTGTTATTCTCGTGATAAGAAACGAGTAGCCACTTACAGATTCCACAGGTTTACTGTCCAACACAAGAATCTACAGACAACCACTGACCAGTCACATTGTTGTCGAAACAACAAAACCATCCAACAATAACATTACTGAAGGTTAAAAAAACAAAAAAAAAAACAGCACCAGTTGTTGTGAACCTGTGGTGCTCAGGAAAAACTTCACTCTGTCTCCATGTGATGGTCTTCATGCATGGGTGTCACTGTGGTACGGGTGATTCACATTGGCACATTTACTCCTTCAACTAAAACAAACAAACAAACAAACATCCTAAATATACTGTACAGTGCACAGACAAGAAGATGTGATCTTGTATAAATGTAATACTGCTAGGCAGGAATGAGACACCGGGGGCGGGGGATCAGTGGTTTTTTCAACTTGTGCAGTTCAATCTTCCTGCACTGTGGAGACACTGCTCTAATAACAACCCCTTTTATTTTCATAGAAATAGGAAGTTAATTTCCAAAATAAAGTTCAAAAAACATCACTGACACGCAACAACATAATATCATTTGCTTTCACCACTTTCAGGTTACTTTGTGCACAGTCCTGGAAACCATTTTCTGCTTGTTCTTCCCACTGTGGTCTTTAAATCACATACGCACAAAGCATTTTGAAAGCTCTAAAGTTACCACCATGATGACTGAGTTCCATATCAGAAATGCCTACATTTAGCTGCCAGGGGATCATGATCAGAGTTATAAACCCAGGTAAACGTACAGGTGGTATACTTCCATAACTCAGTCTATAGACCCTGATATGCTGCAGGTGTGGCTGGGATGTTTCCGGGACATGTGTGTCAGTCAGTGGCAGTGAAAGTAAGAGGATGGATGGGGTCAAGTCTGACTATTTAGAGAGTGTAGCTATAGGATCACACGCCGGTCGAAGCAGTTGAATTTCATCACCACACAGGGCAATTCATCCATTGGTAAGAAAACCACTGTCAGAAGAACCCACGCTAACAGAATCCACACACACATCTTGATATGAGTCTAAACTACAGTGTCTACAGGGTACTGTGTGTGTGTGTGTGACAGGGGTGTAATAGATACCTCACTGAATCCTGTTCTACTATTTTAAATAATTCAGTCAATATTAGTTCAAACCATTAAAAACTGTACTGGTTTAGAGCTTTCACAGTTTGTTTAGTTCATTTCTTCATGGCACACGAGCAGAATTTCTCAGCATTAGTATGCTCAGCTTGAATTTGGCAAAACATTTAAAATTCTTGCATAGCCCTTCACTTTTGTGTAATTAAACAGGTCAGCCCCTCCAATTAAAACACAGATTAGATTTGTAAAAGTCACTTTGGCAAATCATCAGTTAGGTTGTCACCAATCACAGACACGTACTTGAATTTATTATCTCCTAACTTGAATCCTGTGATTGAAAATCAGTGCAGTTTTCCTGGTTGCTCAGAAATATACAAAACAAGGAGGCTTGGACAACTGAAGCTCCAGCACCAAGGGATTACCAAATACCACTGGAGCGACCACCAGGAGGGGCCAGGATCCGAGCCGAGGACCTCTTCGGGATATGGTCATCAACCTGAGACCCTGTGAGAGAAATATACAAAATGTAGTTTCAGTCACAACATTACAATGATCAAAGCTGAAGTTAAATTTTCACTGGGATGAGTTTTATTTCCGCCTACCTGAAAGACTAAAAGAGGACTCGTGGAGGTCCCGGATGCCCTGGTGCACTCGGCCACAGGGTTTGTTTGGCGTCTCTCCATCTACAGGGCTCAATCCGAACTCCTTCTTCATAGCGTTTGCCACCTTGGCCACATCACCAGAGTATGGATCCCTGACAACCCCTTTATAAGCCTGGACCTGAAACAGAGAGGGAGGAGATGAAAGGAAAAGAGTTTAACCATTTTCAATAACCATGCTAGTCATCACCAACAATTAAACTAAAATACTTTTATCAGAGTAAATACAGTAATATACAGTATTTTCAGTAAATCTCTGTAGTGAGGAAAGTGAGGCCAGAAACGTGAATGTTTGAAAGTGAACATACCTTTTCTCTCTGCACCATTTTCTTATAGAGATAGTCAGGGAACATACGCTGAGGGTAGAACTTTCCTGATCCCTCGGCACACATGAACACACCATTCTCACAAACCAAACGTCCTCGGCTGATGGTAACTAGAGGAACCCCATGGCAGCGCATCCCCTCGTAGAGATTGAAGTCTCCGCCCTGCACCTGAGTGCTCACAGAGATGGTCCTACACAGGAAAGCCATTGTTACCATTGAGTTTGTTCTGCATTAAAACATGAACCAGGATGATTAATCTATGTTTGTGAACTACTTTTTCTTGTAAATATACAGTAGCTACACACCTTGTTGCATCTGGATCCCAGACCACCACATCGGCATCAGCCCCGGGAATAATACGACCCTTGCGTGGGTACAGGTTGTAGATCTTTGCAGCGTTAGAGCTCGTCACTGCCACAAAACGATTTTCATCCATCTTTCCTGTAACCTGAAGGTGTTAAGGTATCAAAGATACAACTATGACATGAAGCTATGATTACTCTATGACTGTGAATTCATGCCAGGAGACTGATTATTACTAATGAGGGATTTTCAATATCATTTATGGGGGTTTGGTTTGGGGGCTGGTGTTAGGCTATTCTCATATTTGGATGTCCTTACACAACATTGATGCATCCATCCATCCATTTTCCTCCGCTTATCTGGGACCGGGTTGTGGGGGTTGCAGTCTAAGCAAAGATGCCCAGACTTCCCTCTCTCCAGACACTTCCTCCAGCTCCTCCGCGGGAATGCTGAGGCGTTCCCAGGCCAGCCGAGAGACATAGTCCCTCCAGCGTGTCCGGTGTCTTCTCCGGGGCGTCCTC